ATAGGTTCTACTTCAATAGAGAAGCTAGCCAAATAACTTTGATATTTTGAGGAGATCACCTCATATCCAATAACTTCTGAGATAGGATATTTGCAACAACTCACATAACCTAACTTGTCTGGTCTAATATAATCTTTAAGCCATATAGAGGGCTTGGATACCCTAGTTGATTTTTTTAATCCTACATAAATGGGAACATCAAAAGAAACAATTGGGGTTGCAGGAGAATTAGGTTGAACTTCAACATTGCTATGAATAGTAGTAGAAGGATTGTCCTGTTCAGTTAAAGGAACAGAAATCATATCTGAAGGGCTTGGAATATTAGGTGTGGCATAAGATCTATCTGTAGCAGAACAGTCCACTGCCATTGGTTCTTCACTGAAATCCTGCCTAGGCACTGGACACATGTCTAAGAAGAATGAGTTGGATGTGCTTTCAGCTGCATGAAAAGGAAACATGTCTTCATAGAACACCACATCTCGAGTGATAAAAAATACTCTATTCTCCAAATCCAACAATCTATATCCTTTTTGATGTGCAACATAGCCCAATAGAACTGACCTCACAGCTCTTGGTGAAAATTTGTCAGTGTTTACTAGGTTAGTAGCAAAGCATAGGCAACCAATAACTTTGAGATGTATTAGTGAAGGTGGTTTACAAAAAAAGCAGCTCATAGGGTGATTTATACCCCAAAATAGATGAAGGAATCCTGTTGATGATATATACAACAGAGTCAATACAATGTTCCCAATACCTGACAGGTAAATGTCTTTGAAATATGATTGCTCGAGCAATTTCAAGTATGTGTCTATGCCTCCTTTCCACAACTCCATTCTGCTAAGGAGTGTAAGGGCATGAGCTTTGATGAATAATTCCATGTGATTGAAAAAAATATCTACAGGCATGATTGAAGAATTCACCACCATTGTCTGACCTAAAGACCTTGATCTGCTTGTCAAACTGTGTCTTAATCATAGCAATGAAATTCTTGAGCAAGAAAATAAAATCAGACTTAAGTCACATGAGAAACACCCAAATCCACCTAGTATAATCATCAACTAGTGTAAGAAAGTATCTCATTCCATTATTAGTAGCAACCTTATAAGGTCCCCATACATCCATATGGATCAAGTCAAAACTGCACATACTTCTGCTAGTACTAGTTTGAAATGGTACTATAGTTTGTCTAGCTAAGGGACAAATTTCACATTTAGACAATGTACTACTGTGCATGTTGCTACTATATTCTTGTAGACTGGAAATTCTTCTAAGAACTTGAACTGGTACATGTCCGGTTCTTTTGTGCCATATATCCATATTTCCCTTATTAGTCACTGCAAAGGCTTTATTCACTTTCTTTCCTAGTGCAACTGATAGAGTGTATAGATCTTCCTCTCTTTTACCAATCTCCTTCACCCTCCCAGACAAGAGGTCCTGAAATACACAATATTAAGGAAAAAAAGGTAACACTACACTAAATATCTTTTGTTACTTTTGAGATTGACATAAGATTGAACTTGAAAGATGGTACACATAACACATCCTTCAATATATCACCTCCTGTGAGCTGACATTTTCCGATATGAGAAATAGTGGCTGAATCCCCTGTAGGTAGTTGAACTTGCCCTGAGTTCCCTACTGAAGTTTCATTTTTTAGCTAACTTTTATCACCCGTCATGTGATTAATAGCACCAGTATCAACTATCTATTTGCATAGCTCTAAGTTTTCACAGAGTGCTATATAGCCACAAAAATATTTACCTGCCATGTTGACATTTGCTTCTCCAATGAAGTTCTTGTTCAACAATTACAACAATTGATTGTATTGCTCTTTGGTGAAAGATTGACATGTCTCAACATTGCTTCCTGAATGATAACTAGTCTGTGGACTTCTCAAGTCCTGCTGTCCAGTTGAGTCAACCATCACTACATTGGCTTTCTTCTTCTGCTTGAAATCAGTTGGATATCCAACAATCTTGTAACAATTCTCCTTGCGATGTCCTATCTTATTACAAAATTCACATTTCATTAGCTTATAGCACTCAATCTTAGTATGACCTTTTAAAGGACATAATTCACATTCTAAGTTGAAATTTCTTCTTGGTCGAGTAGTGAAAAGAGTTGTATGATCAGTGTGCCCTGCTTGCCCATATGTATTTCCAGCAATCATCTTCTTGCTTTCATCCTGTACTACCATAGCATAAGTTGTATCTATAGACGACAGTATTGGTATCAATAAGATTTGACACCTTTCTTGCTCAAAACCATCATTTAACCCCATTAAAATTGCAACAGACGCTGATATTCCAATTGCTCGATGTATTCAGTAGCAGATGAAGGAGATGCCAATATTGAATCATATTCTACCCAAAGGTCCTTCAATTTAGTAAAATATGTCGAAACATATGAGATTCCCTGTGTTAGAGTGAAAATCTCCTTGTGCAAGTAGTACAGTCTCGATCCATTCACTTTGTCAAATCTCTCCTTGAAAGCTGCCCATATCTTCGGAGCATTAGAAGAAAACAACACTCCTGTGACTAGTTCTCTACTTACATTGCTCATAAGCCATGAGGTGACGATGACATTACATCGATCCCATTGACTTTCCAATTCTGTACCAAAATCTTCCCTTGACGTCGATATGTCAACTGGCATAATTTATTCTTCCCTTGCAATGCGACTTTCATTGCACGACTCCACATAGAATAGTTTTCCATTCTTGTCAAAATTAATCCCACCGACATGAATCCAGGACTGTCTGAAGGATGGAGGTAAAGAGGATGATTATGATCCAGTATAGTTGTGCTTCTGACCACTCCAGTTCCAGATCGAGCTCCAGCATTCACATTCGTGGTTGAATCTTCATGAATTGCCATTGAAATACAAAAAATTAAGGTTTAAGCTTTTGAATTTGAGTAGATCCTCTTGAATTTTTCTTCAACTGCTCGAAAAATTCCCTAGAATCACTCGTTAATACTGCTATGATACCATGATGAATTAATCAATGGCATGCAATTAGAAATCGAAGATTAGGAAGAGAGAAATTTAGAGAGAGAATTTTGAGAAGAAGAACTCTGCTCTTTCTGCTATTTCTTTCAATTACAGGGATAATGAAGACCACTAAACAGTGTAAATGGAAAAGCTGTACTTAACTACTCTAACCAACTAGTGGGGCCCAGCTATACAACTAATTACAACTAAATTAATTTAACTAATTAACTACTAACTGTAACTATATCCTTTACAGGGGCCCCATAAATATGGAGCCTAAAGCAATTATTTTATTTGCTCTATGGAAGGGTCGCACTTGAGTCTATATAGCCCGGAAAGGATAAACAGAAATGAAGAGCAAAGTTGGTTGACGAGGATGATATTAATCCGGGTTATAATAATAATAAATAGAACCGACTGTTCTGGGAAGAGTCAGGAGAGTGGCTACTTAATTAATTGTTTTGCCCTAGGATTTGGCCTTTCACACGTCTGAATGGTGTATTAATTACCAATACTTCCTTTGGACTTATACCTTCACATTAGTCTTAGAAATAGTCAGATAAGTGTTTTTTTCATAAATTTTATAATCTTTTATGTTGCATACCGTATTTTAAGCTTTATTAATTCACCACGCAAAATGTTGCCATCATCAGCTAATTAATATGTACAATAATGTAAACGGTCCCTCTAGACAGTCTTCTCTAATCCCATTTTAAGTCAATCTATTCATAGTAGTTAGGAAAAAAAAGCAGTTCAGTGTATAAAATATCTTGCATTCACATAATCCAAGGAGTGTGATATAGACAAGCTATTATAAAATATACATTAATGACTGCTTCCACGGCTCAAACATATGACCTATATCAATTTTATTTATTACTTGAATTTTGAATGGGATTAAAGTCACGAGGCAAATAGGAAAAGAGGTGAATTTAAAAGTATTAAGTAATATATTAAATGAAAAGGCTCCGTATAAACCTATGTTGAACACATCCAAGCATATGAATCTAACCGTGTGAACAGAAAAATCATTATTAAATAAATAGTGACAAAGACTAGACCAAGACCGCTGTCTCATAGTACTCTGCATCTTCCTTCTTGTTTCGCTCTCCTCCTAATTACAAATTCTAAGACATAGATCTCTATATGGGGCAACTGCACAAGTAACTAGAGCAAATGCAAATTAAGGATTTAAATTTGATTAATATTTAAGTTGAATTTATTCTAATTTTAAAATAATAGGGTTGGAATTTAATATGTATTATAATTATAGTTATATATCGTTATTCAGTATGGAAGATATTAAATTAAGTTGAACGCAACGATATGATTGATGTACATTAATAAACTACTATAAACTTGGGGCTTGAAAAGATGCTACCAATATTTATGTTTTGCATGCGTGATACAGAGTTGGTTTGATTTACTAGTTGAGTGAGACTCCCAAGTCACGAATTCTTATCCTAATGATACCTGCTGGAGTTTTTTAATAGTAACATAATTAGGAGAATCCGAGGCCGCCCCTGCGCCCATGCCATTTCAGAGTTTTAGTAACATTTGATAGAATTATAATGAGAATTTTACACTATTCGAGTAATTTAACCTCTTATAATAGATGAATTTATTATTTATTGTAAGTTACTATATTCATTCCAATTTACGTGAATCTATTTTCTTTTTGATCCAGAATGATACATTTCTAAATTTAGAAATAATTTAGCTTAAATTTTCAACTCTGTCCTTAATGAGAAACTTTTATAACCACACAAATACTCTGAACCCATTTTTGACTTGTTTAGGACCACAAATTCCAAAAATCTTCGCTCTTTCTTAAATTTCGTGTCCAGTCAAACAAAATTACATAAATTAAAATGGAGGGATATTAAATGGAGTTACTTACAATTTTCTTTTTAAATGACCTAACTTAAACCCTTCCAAAAAACAATAGGATTAAAGAAGGCACTTGACTCATTGAAGGTAGCATTTGATATTATACCACATTTTAGTCACATGCTTTGTCTATAAATTTAAACATCTTCTTATAAATTACCCGTTACTACTACACATTCACCCTATAAATAGAAACTCTCCTCCCGTTGGTTGCAACTTGGGAACCCTAGCTAGCTCTCTCATCTTCCTCCTTAATTTGCCTCAACATATAACACAAAAACTCTGTCATTATATTGTAAACAACGTAACCATGATTGAATCTCTGTCCAGCTGGTTCACTCCCACTGTTCTCTTCTGTGTTCTGAACCTCATGATTGGTATTATTCTCATTTCTTCTAGCTTCAAGAATGACAAAAAACAACAGCAACAACAACAATACGCTGAAGATAATAACTTACCTCAACCCCCCCGAACTCCATCTTTATTACAGCGTGTTAGGTCTGTAAATTACTTCTCTTTCGTCCCTGAGCCCTTTAATTCCCCTTTAACTACTCCTCATTTCGCCGACAACTCTTCACCTCGACTCGGCTACAGTCCCTCTTTGCTTCAGCGAGTCCGGTCCATCAACTTCTCTTTCTCCTCCCGGTCCGAAAAACCCAGCCCGTTTCCGTCTCTGGACCAATACGCCGGCCGTCCAGCTGATGAAAATGAACCTCAGAAGGTTGAAACTGTAACTGTAACTGAAGAAGAAGAGGATTTGCAGTGTCACGTAATGAGAAGTAAATCTACCACGTGCGCGGAAACTACGTTAATGAAGAAGTTGGCTAGTGAGGAAATACTGGCGGCGGTGCAGAAGGAGGAGGAGGAAGAGGAAGAGGTGGTGGTGGTTAGGCAGCGGCCGGCGACGGTGAGGGAGAGAAAGCAAGGGATGAAGAAGTCGTTTGGCCGGGATGATGAAGCTACTGTAGATAGGAAAGCTGATGATTTTATTAGCAAGTTTAGGGAGCAGCTGAAGATGCAGAGAATTGATTCTATTCAAAGGTACAAGGAAATGTTAAACAGAGGTGTGTCCATTTAGGACAACTTTGTCCTTGTAATTTATCCTTTCATGTATGGCAGATCCATGTCGTTTTCTGTCAATTCAAAAGTAAACACGATTTGGTTGTCGCATCTCACTTAGTTGAGTGAAGTTAAGTGGTTATTCTTTTGTTATTTTGATATATGAGAAAAACAACTGATTTAAGTAGTAATTTTAATGTTTAGACGATGCTGCCCAAGAAAGTAGAAACTAATTCTTAATTGGAATATTGTAAGAAGGAATTTTTTTCCTTTCTATGCAATATTTAAAATTTATTTATCAAATTTATCCTAATTACCACTCATATTTCACCTTCAAATCTTATCAAACGACCTGGATTCCGGAAAACATTAGTCCAAGCACAGAATATTCTCCTTTTAAATTCAAAGTTTTGGGGAAAACATTTCAAATACAATTCACGAGAAAAGTACGTAATTGAAACACAAATATATCTCCAAGAAAACTTTTACAGTAAGTTAATTATATCTGATTTGATCATGAATATTGGCCAATTTTCAATTTTTTTTGAGCATATAGTGACAATTAAGATTTAAGGAGTAAGTATATTAACTATGAGCGTGCGATTCTTTTTCCCAGGAGATACAAATGTGTTAGGACCGAAAAAGCAGGTGTCATGCGGAAACAAACAAAGTAAACCTTGAACGACGATAAATCAGATGACAGACAAGAAATATATCAAAAGATACACAAACATTTAACGTGGTTCGGCCAATTGACCTACGTCCACGATGGAGATGAGCTATCCACTATAATAAAAGAGTACAAAATATCGAGAGAACAACCTCACGAAGAGGCAAACACAAGTGACACACACTTGTCCCGTAAAATTCTCCCCCTAAACACGATTCTCAAACCCTATATGGCTACATTGTGGATGCTAATGAATGAGAAGGACGGATCTTCAATTTATAGAACTCCAAACCTTTTCCTACAAGAAAAAAGACTAGCTAAATATAAGAGATTTATAATTTTCTTCTACAAGAAAAAAACTAATTAAAATAAATATGTTGCCCTTTAACAAATAAAAAAATCAAATATAATAAAAAAATTATGGGAAACACTCTAGATTTTTGCTTACTAGATGTAGGAGGAAGTATTCAAACCGTTAAAGTTCAAGGTTATCTAACATAGCTTTTCAAGATTTAGAGAAAGCCATGTGGAAAGTGGGTTAAAAATTAAAAACTTTATTCGTATAGTGGCTTTTTTTTAAGGAGGAACAACTTGGGTATTAGGAATGAGATTTAGACGGTGAGGAGAGAATCTAAGGAAGTTTGGTGGTTCGATGTTTTCAATATGTAATTTTTTTTTGTTTTCTATGTTTTAAAACGTATTATTATTTTGGAAAGAATGATGCTTTATATGCCTGCCAAACATAGTTGTGCTCGCAATCACGTGTTACATAGCAGATGGTCTGAAAACGAGGCAGAAACATGCCGATATGTTTGATTTCACTATTCATGTTAAGATTACATCACTACTAGAGATTTGGAAAAATCCGACCCAAGACATATCGACCAACATTGGACGATCAACAAAAGTGACCAAAAAACCGTCCAAAGCGGACGAAAACTACCAATAAAAATATTTTACATTTTTAAAAAATTATATACCGACCAATATCGATCGGTATATTGGTCAAATATTTAACCGCAATGGTCAGACTTACTTAGTCAAAGTACTTTATTTTTTAATTAGTGACCAACATGAGTCGGTAAGGTGAACTCACAGTTTTAAATTTTAATAATTATATTATTATTTAAAATATTTTATAAAGTTTATAGTTGAATTTACCGACCAAAGTCGGTCGGTTATTACAGGAGAAGATTTTACCAACTAACTTTTGGTCGGTAGCTGTAATTTCCGAAATATAACCAACTAACTTCGGTCAGTTCATAGGTCAAACATGGTCAAACTTTTGAATCACATTTAAATTTACAATCTAANGGTATAGCCGCATCTAAGAACGCGGAGCGCTAGGATCACAAGGTCAGGTTCTTTTGGGAATAGACTTGTGAAGAGGCAATAATCTAATTAGTACATATCATAATCCATACTTATTGCATCATTTCATCATTTTCATTACTGTTGCAACGTGCAATCCAATCCCACACATATAATCATTTACATTACTGTTGCGGAGTGCAACCGATCCCACACATATCATCATTTTCATTATTGTTACAGTGTGCAACCCGATCCTACACATATCGTCATTTAAGCAAATAATTTACAGCTAACTACGGCGTACCACAAAAACAAAAGGATGAGGCTAGACAAAAAAGTCACAATTGATGAAAAAGTTACACGATAACCCATGAAATCAAATAGTAAGGAATGACAATCGATAAACCAAGACACAATTTCCGAGCGTCAATTAACAGTTAAGATATGTAGCAGATAAGGCATGAATTCAATAAATAATTACAATCAACAATTAGCATATAGGATGAACTTGACAATAAAAGATGGATCATGTACTAACAACTTTAGGTAAATCACGTAAGAGAGACTTAACGATGAAAGATATAACATGATAACTACAATTAATTGCATAAAGGAAGCCTAACGATCTAATCTGGTTGAATACAACAAATAAGTCTGTGTACATACTCGTCAAATTGTGTACACGCCTTCCATATATTTCAAATTGTATCATCAATCCAAAACTTAAGGGGTAGTTTCTCTCATACAAAGTTAGGCAAATATAGCTTCTCGCGTGAAACGGCCTTCGGACGGCTCAAATATAGCCAAAATAATTTCATTAAATAATTAAAATTCATAAGAAATAATTACGGATAATAAAATGTCGACTTTTAATTTTACACTAAAAAGTCAACATGAAAGTCAACCCAGGGCCCGTATATCGGAATCCGACAATTTTTTTACGAAATCTGAACACTCATTCCGATACAAGTTCAATCATATCAAAACTATCAAATTCCAATATCGAATCGACCTTCAAATCTTCATTTTACATTTTTCTGAAAGATTTTCCAAATTTCCATTTTCTTCAATCTGATTCACAAGTTTAATGACATAAATACGTATGAAATGATGAAATACAATCTTCGGTTAAGGAACACCTACTAAAATCAAACTCGTGAAGAATCCCTCCAAAATCGCCCAAAACCGAGATCAAAAACTCCAAAAATGAGCAAAAATGGCAAACCCCCGAATATATGATTATGTCCAGTTTCCTCGCATCTACGGACTGGATTTGCACGCCTGCAAGTTCGCTTTTGCGAGAAAAATTTCGCTCATGTGGCCTTCACTTAGCTGCCCAGGTTTCGCACCTGCGAGTAGTACACACGCACCTGCGATGTCACTTCTGTGATCCAAGAAGCACACCTATGAAGGCGTCCGCATGTGCGCCTTCATTTTCCGATAATGCGATGACGCAGGTGCGGGAAATACTTCGCACCTGTGACCACTGCCCAATCCTTCCCATTTTCTCTTCTGCGATCATTACCTCGCCCATGTGGTCTCGCACCTGCGACCAAATCCATCGCAGGTGCGATGGCACCAGTGACTGCCAAAAACCAGCCTTAACAAAATTTTCAAAATGATTTGAAACCCGTTCAAAACTCACCCTAGCTACTCGGGACCCGTCTGAATATATCAATAAGTCCTGTAACATAACACAGACCTACTCGAGGTCTCAAATCACATCAAACAACGTCGAAATTACGAATTTCACCTCGAATCAGACTTATGAATTTTCAAATCTTCCAACTTCTACAATTTGCGCTGAAACATATCGAATTGATCCGTAATAACCTCAAATTTTGCACACAAGTCATAAATAACATAACAAAGCTTACAAAATTGAAGTCTGAGCCTGATATCATTAAAGTCAACTACTGGTCAAGCCTATGAATATTTCAAAACATTAACTTTTCGATTTTCGCTAAAATGCTTCAATTTAACCTAAGGACCCCAAAATCCAAATCCGGATGCACGCCTAAGTCCGAAATCATCATACAAAGCTATTGGAATCATCGAAGCACCATTCCGAAGTCATCTACACAAAAGTCAAATCTCCGGTCAACTCTTTTCACTTAAGCTTCTAAAACAAGAATTATTCTTTTCAATTAATCCCAAATCATCCGAAAATCAAACTCGACTATACACGCAAGTTATAATACATTATACAAAGTTGATCGAGGTCTTAAGCCATTGAACATGATGCTAATTCCCAAAATGACCAGTTGGGTCGTTACATTCTCCCCCACCTAATGTAACGACCCGGTCGTTCGTTCTGAGAGTTATAGCCCCATTTCCCCCATCTATGCTTATTTATGTGTTGTTCAGCTGTGTTGAGTTGTATCGAGTCGGTAGGTTTGGGTTCGGAGTAGTTTTGAGTGAAATGATCACTTCGCCTCTTAGTTAGAAAAGTTAACCGGAAGTTGACTTATGAGTAAACGAATTCGGATTTGGATTTTTATAATTTAATTAGCTTCATTGTGTGATTTTAGACTTAGGAGTGTGTCTGGAATATAATTTGGCAGTCCGTGGTATAATTAAGCTTGAATTGGCAAAAGTTAGAAATTTGGCGATTTTGGTCGGCAACAAAAAATTAGGTATCGGGGTCAGAATAGAATTCTGGAAGTTGGACTAGGTTCGTAGTGTCATTTGTGAAGTGTTTATAAAATTTGAGGCCATTCGGACGTGGTTTGATAGGTTTCGGCATCGTTGGCGAATTTTGGAAGTTTAGAAGTTCTTAGGCTTGAATCTGAGGTTGATTTGGTGTTTTGGCGTTATTTTAGTGTTCCGAAGGTTCGAATAAGTTCGGGTAGTGATATATGACTTGTTAGAATTATTGGTTGAGGTCCCGAGGGCCTCAGGTGAGTTTCGGAGAGGTTTGAGTTGTGTTGCGCTAGTTTTTCTTATGTTTCGACGTCGTTTCTTCAAGCATAAATGATATCATATTAAATAAATGAGCTCCAATTTCTTTTTTTTTTTGATTGAAATATTAGATCCATATCGTAATTATGGACTCATAGCAAAAAGAATCGTCGAATTTGGACATTGTATGAAGATTTTATGGTCATTTTACTAAGAATTAGGTTACCAGATTTTTCAAATTAATCACGGAATTGTCA